GCATGCGGCCGCGGGCACTGGGGCCTTCGGTGGAGCTCCCTATGAGCCACGAAACCGTGTGAGGGGTGTGCCGAAATGGGTGTGGGTGACGCATGCGGGCGCGGGCACTGGGGCCTTCGGTGGAGCTCCCTATGGAGCCACGAAACGAGTGAGGGGTGTGCCGAAATGGGTGTGGGTGACGCATGCGGGCGCGGGCACTGGGGCCTTCGGTGGAGCTCCCTATGGAGCCACGAAACGTGTGAGGGGTGTGCCGAAATGGGTGTGGGGGACGCATGCGGCCGCGGGCACTGGGGCCTTCGGTGGAGCTCCCTATGGAGCCACGAAACGGGTGAGGGGTGTGCCGAAATGGGTGTGGGGGACGCATGCGGCCGCGGGCACTGGGGCCTTCGGTGGAGCTCCCAATGGAGCCACGAAACGTGTGAGGGGTGTGCCGAAATGGGTGTGGGGGACGCATGCGGCCGCGGGCACTGGGGCCTTCGGTGGAGCTCCCTATGGAGCCACGAAACGTGTGAGGGGTGTGCCGAAATGGGTGTGGGTGACGCATGCGGGCGCGGGCACTGGGGCATTCGGTGGAGCTCCCTATGGGGCCACGAAACGCTGTACAGGTGGGTGAAACGCAGGAAGAGAAGGGGTGATGATGGCTGATGATGAAATGACGCTGATGCTGATGATGATGAATGAGGATGATGATGATGATGATGAATGTTGATGATGATAGATGACGATGATGATGATGAAGTGATGGTGAGGTGATGGTGATGATGAATGATGATGATGATGATGACGATGATGATGATGATGCGATGATGATGATGATGATGATGATGACGATGATGATGATGACGATGATGATGATGATGATGATGATGCTGATGATGATGATGATGATGATGATGATGATGATGATGATGATGATGATGATGATGATGATGATGATGATGGCAGGAGGGAGGGGGCAGCGGGATGAGGAGGAGAAGGGACAGCGGGGCGCTGTCTCTTCAAAACGAGGACCCAACACCACAGGATGGTTGGGACAAATGAGATCGGAGCGCGAAGGCACGATGGCGGGGAATGCGTTTTTCGACGCCCGCGGCCCGCTGGAGGCCCGTTTCAGGCGCCATGGCGGCCTGAATAGGTTTTTCCACAGAGGCGGCCCCTGCAGGCCCGTTACGGACCCCAGGGCGGTCAGGAACCGAACCCAACTAAAAACCAACAAAATTATCCTGGCGAAGGACCCAACCATATGCAATTGTGAATATTGCAATTGTGAATATCTTCTCGGTGGAGCCCCCCTACGGGGCCACGAAACGTACGAGGGTGTGCCGAAATGAGTGTGCGGGACGCATGCGGGCACACCCACTGGGGCCTTCGGTGGAGCTCTCTATGGGGCCAAGAAACGTGTGAGGGGTGTGCCGAAATGGGTGTGCGGGACGCATGCGGGCACACCCACTGGGACCTTCGGCGGAGCTCCCTATGGGGCCACGGAACGCGTGAGGGGGGTGCCGCAATGGGTGTGAAGCTGGGCGCATGCGGGCGCGGGCACTGGGGCCTTCTCGGAGCTCCTTGGTTGCCACGAAACGTGTGAGGGGTTGTTGCCGAAATGGGTGTGGCTGCCTGCAGCTGCGGCGCGGCACTGGGGCCCTTCGGTTGCGGTGGTGTACCCTATGGAGCCACGAGAACGTGGTGAAGGGTGTGCCGAAATGGGTGTGGCTGACAGCATGCGGGGCGCGGGGCACTGGGCCTTCGGTGGAGCTCCTATGTCGCTACGAAACGTGTGAGGGGTGTGCCGAATGGGTGTGGAATGACGCTGCGGGCGCGGGCACTGGGAATTCGGTGGAGCTCCCTATGGGGCCAACGAAACTTGTGAGGGGTGTGCCGGAAATGGGTGTGGTGTGACGCATGTGGCGCGGCGCCTGGGGGGCCTTCCTGGGTCAGCTCCCTATGGAGCCACGAAACGTGATGCGGGGGGGTCGGTACGTCGGTATACATGACTGCAATGCGGGCGCGGGCACTGGGGCCTTCGGTGGAGCTCCCTATGGAGCCACGAAACGTGTGAGGGGTGTGCCGAAATGGGTGTGGGTGACGCATGCGGGCGCGGGCACTGGGGCCTTCGGCGGAGCTTCTACTATGGGGCCACGAAACGTGTGAGGGGTGTGCCGAATTGTGTGTGGGTGACGCATGCGGGCGCGGGCACTGGGGCCTTCGGTGGAGCTCCCTATGGAGCCACGAAACGTGTGAGGGGTGTGCCGAAATGGGTGTGGGTGACGCATGCGGGCGCGGGCATTGGGGCCTTCGGTGGAGCTCCCTATGGAGCCACGAAACGTGTGAGGGGTGTGCCGAAATGGGTGTGGGTGACGCATGCGGGCGCGGGCACTGGGGCCTTCGGTGAAGCTCCCTATGGAGCCACGAGCAAAACTAAAAAAAAGTGTGAGTGGTGTGCCGACATGGGTGTGAGGGTGACGCATGCGAGGCGCGGTGGCCATGGGCCTTCGTTTGGCAGCTTCTATGGAGTACACCACGACGTGTGAGGGTGGCCGGGAATGGGTGTGGGTGCGCATGCGGGCGGCGGGCGCTGGGTGGGGGGCCCCCCACACCAGATCTGTGTGGATAGGAGCTCCCTATGATCCCCGACACGTGGGTGAGGGGTGTGCCGAAATGGGTGTGGGGGACGCATGCGGCCGCGGGCACTGGGGCCTTCGGTGGAGCTCCCTATGGAGCCACGAAACGTGTGAGGGGTGTGCCGAAATGGTGTGGGGGACGCATGCGGCCGCGGGCACTGGGGCCTTCGGTGGAGCTCCCTATGGAGCCACGAAACGTGTGAGGGGTGTGCCGAATTGGGTGTGGGTGACGCATGCGGGCGCGGGTACTGGGGCCTTCGGTGGAGCTCCTATGGGGCTACGAAACGCTGTACTGGGTGGGTGAAACGCAGGGAAGAGGGGGAGGAGGGAGGAGGAGGGGGAGGAGGAGGAGAGGAGGAGAGGAGAGGAGAGGAGAGGAGAGGAGACGCGGGGACCGTTTTTTTCAAAACGAGGACCCAACACCACAGGATGGTTTGGAAAAAGATAACGGAGCGCAGCAGCAACGGCAGGATGGCGGGGAATGCGTTTTTCCACGCCCGCGGCCCCTGGAGGCCTGTTTCGGGCCCCAGGGCGCCTCACCACGTTTTTCCACACGGAGCCTTCGGGTGCGCCCCTATGTGGGGCCGCGAAAGCCTTCGGCTGCGCCCCCTGTGGGGCCACGAACCGTTTGAGGGGCGCGCCGAAATGGACCCGAAGCCTGCTGCGCCCCCTGTGGGGCCACGAACCGTGTGAGGGGTGTCCCGAAATTGATCCGAAGTCTTCGGCTGCGCCCCGTGTGTTGCAACGAACCGTGTGAGGGGTGCGCCGAAAATGTCCCCGAAGCCTTCGGCTGCGCCCCCTGTGGGGCCACGGGCCGTGTGAGGGGTGCGCCGACATGGACCCGAAGCCTTCGGGTGCGCCCCATGTGGGGCCGCGAAAGCCTTCGGTTGCGCCCCTTGTAGGGCCACGAACCGTGTGAGTGGTGCGCCGAAATGGACCCGAAGCCTTCGGCTGCGCCCCCTGTGGGGCCACGAACCGTGTGAGGGGTGCGCCGAAATGGACCCGAAACCTTCGGCTGCGCCCCGTGTGGGGCCACGAACCGTATGAGGGGTGCGCCGAAATGGGCCCGAAGCCTTCGGGTGCGCCCGATGTGGGGCCGCGAAAACTTTCGGCTGCGCACCTTGTAAGGCCACGAACCGTGTGAGAGGTGCGCCGAAATGGTCCCGAAGCCTTCGGCTGCGCCCCCTGTGGGGCCACGCACCGTGTGAGGGGTGCACCGAAATGGGCCCGAAGCCTTCGGGTGCGCCCCATGTGGGGCCACGAACCATGTGAGGGGCGCTCCGAAATGGGCTCGAAACCTTCGGCTGCGCCCCGTGTGGGGCCACGACGCCGACATGGACCCGAAGCCTTCGGGTGCGCCCGATGTGGGGCCGCGAAAGCCTTCGGCTGCGCCCCCTGTGGGGCCACGAACCGTGTGAGGGGTGCGCCGAAATGGGCCCGAAGCCTTCGGGTGCGGTCCCTGTGGGGCCACGAACCGTGTGAGGGGTGCGCCGAAAGGGTCCCGAAGCCTTCGGCTGCGCCCCGTGTGGGGCCACGAACCGTGTGAGGGGTGCGCCGAAATGGGCCCAAAACCTTCGGCTGCGCCCCCTGTGGGGCCACGAACCGTGTGAGGGGTGCGCCGAAATGGGCCCGAAGCCTTCGGGTGCGCCACATGCGGGGCCGCGAAAGCTTTCGGCTGCGCACCTTGTAGGGCCACGAACCGTGTGAGGGGTGCGCCGAAATGGTCCCGAAGCCTTCGGCTGCGCCCCCTGTAGGGCCACGAGCCGCGTGAGGGGTGCGCCGAAATAGTCCGATGGAACCCTGTAGGGGTTCTATGGGACTCCGATGGAACCCTGTGGGGGTCGAATGGGAGTCCGATGGAACTCTGTAGGGGTTGTATGGGCGTCCTATGGAACCCTGTAAGGGTCGTGTGGGAATCCTATGGAACCCTGCACGGATCCCACAGGATCCTCCTGTAGGGGTGCGTTGTGTTGTGTTGTGTTGTTCCCCCCCCCCTCCCCCCCTCCCCCCCCGGGGGGGCTTGCCCCGCCTGTATCAACAACAACAACAACAACAACAACGCAACAAGCAGACTCCTTACCACGGATTCTCACTTCAGCCATGCACCCAGGGACAATGAATGACCATTCGGCCCCCTCACTCCGATATGTCCTCCGATGCCGACTACTTCGGTAAACTACAACTCGATATTGCTAGAACCTAAAAGCACGAAGCGCGTGCGTGGTTCTAGTATATACACATACACACAAACGTCCGCACGCGCGCACGCGCGTTAGCATACGAAGACATACGTGAACACATGTGTAGATGCATGTATGCACCAACTAGCACAGCTGGTGGATAGGCAAGAGCTGCCAAGAGCCTCCTTCGTCCCGCCGCGAGGTACAGAATTCTCGACCCGCAGCTCGTGTATCTGCCGTCGATGCACGGCACGTCTCTTCGGACCTGCTTGGAGCTCTGTAAGGCCCACATCGACCACCCGATGGTTTTCTTCCTGTACACGCCGAGGGGTGATATTATCGGCGGCTTCTCGCCCCTCATATGGCGGAAAACCAACGGATACTTGGCGCTGCGGGAGGTCGACGACGGCGACGGCGGCGGCGCGGCAGCGGCAGCGGTGGTGGCGGGGTGGCAGCGGGCGGCGGCGACGGCGACCTCGACGACGGCGGCAGCGGGCGGCGCGGCGACCACGCCGACAGCGCTGTCGTGAGAGGTCGTTTGCGCGGTGGACGACGCGTTCGCCTTCCAGCTCCCGGCGGGATCAAAGGAGCGTGTTTCTTTATTGCTTGGGGCATAATGGGCATCATAGCTCCCGGCCCCTTTCCCCCCCCCTACAGCGTAATGCCCCTCCCCCCCAGTGCGCTCCGGGCACTGCCGCCGTGCGCACGGCGGGGGGGAGGCGTCATATCATACCCGCCCCCCGGCCACTCCCCCCCCCCTACAATGCCCATGCTCGCCGAAAGCAAGGGAACGCGCTCAAGGCCCCTCGGATATTCCACTGGACGGGCAGCAACGAGCTGCTGCTGCAGGCGTCCGAGACCTCCGGGCTGCACTTCGGCGGCGACGGCCCCGCGGTCCGCTCCCGCTGCCGCCCCCTCGCCTGGCCAGTCGGCGAGGGGGCATTCGTCCTCCGGCCTTGGACCTGCCCGCCTTGGGCGTCGGAGGCCTCCCCCAGACTCCCCCTGGATCTCTTCGCGCAGCGACGACGCGCCAACCGGCCACCTCCATCCACCTCCTCCTGTCCCTTCTTTTCTCGCTTCGGCGAGCCGTCGGCCGAGCCCCCGGCCCCCTCGGCAGCTCGACTCGGAGGGCTGCGCGAGACTGTGTCCCAATGTCTTCTCCCTCCTCCTCCTCCTCCTCCTCCTCCTCCTCCTCCTCCTCCTCCTCTTCCTTCCCCTCCTCGCGCTACTCTCCACCCTTCCAGTTCCTCCCCAACTGCCCTCATCCTCCGCCTCTTCCTCCGCTTTCCCCTTCCTCCACTTCCTCCGACTGCTTCTCCGACCCGTCCCCCTCCTCCCCCGTCCTCCTTCCCCCCAACCTCTCCTCATCTATCCTCCTATCATTCCTCCTACCGCCGCTTATCCTCCTCCTCTTCCTCCTCCTCCTCCTCCTCTTCCTGACCATCCTCCCTGCTGCTGCTGCTGCTGCTGCTGCTGCTGCTGCTGCTGCTCGTTTTTCTCCTCCTTCTTAATATCATCCCTGATCATTCGCCCATTCCGCCTCCTCCTCCTTTCGGCACGCTGGCTCCTCCTTCTTTTCCTCTTCCTCCACTGACCCCTCCTCCCCCTTCTTTTCCTCATCCTCCTCCTTCTTTTCCTCTCCCTCTTTCTCCTTATTTTCCTCCTCCTCCTTCTGTTCCTCTTCCTCCTCCTTCTTCCTCCTCCCCCTCCGTTTCAGCTGTGCTCATCCCTCGATGTCGATGACGACGAGTTTCTCCCCTCAGCATCGACCGACCTCTCTTGCAGCGCGGTCTGCCCAGAATGGCGAAGCGGACTTAGCCGCGGTGGCGATGGGGGCCTGAAGAGGTGCAGGAGGAGGAGGCGGAGGAGGAGGAGGACCAGGGTAAACCCAAGGTGCATCAACGATGTTGCAATGAAGATTCCCTCCAAGTTCCTTTTTCACAGGCCCCTGCAAGAATTTGCTTCCATTGCGGGAGATGCCCCATTGGAAGTCTACCGTGTGAGAATCTTCGAATGGGCCAAAGCACCACTCCTGAGACTGCACCGCCACGAATCAACGTGATTGTTGCGTCCAGACGGTCCTAAATCTTGCCAGGCCACCATTTTTGGATTCAAACGCCGCGAATCAACGATATGGCTGCGTCCTGACAGTCCTAAATCGCGCCAGGATTGCACCCGTACGAGTCTTTGAATGTATTGCATGTCAAACATATGTTTAAGAATAATGTGCGCAGCGCTAGGGCGAGAGCCACGTTCTGAGAAGAACCTGCCCTCCATCCGTGAAGCTGCTGCAAACTTTAAAGTAAAGACGAATTCGTGTGTCGCTAGGGACAGAGCAACATTTTGAAAACGACCCGCCCTCCATCGGTGCGACTGTTGTAACTTTACAGCTCCAGGATAACAGACGGTGACGAAGACGCAGGCGAAACGCCCGACCCTCTCTACCAATAAGTCCAGGGGTGCGACATGGAGGAGCTGTTTTGAAGGAAAAGGGTTGGTGGAGAAACGAGACGAGGAGGAGGAGAAGAAGGAGGAGGAGGAGACGACGAAGACCATGAAGGAATGGAGGAGTCTTTCGGAGGTCCCCAGCGGCCTCCAAAGGCTTCAGGACCTGCACGGAGCTCTCTGGAGCTCTTTTGAAGGCAGGCTCCCCCGAGGACGACGAGATTCTTTGAGGGGTAGGAGGAGGAGGAGGAGGAGGAGGGTACGAAGGGATGCGAGGCGGAGGGGGACACCTACTGACGAGCCTTCGCCGCGGAGGATGCTCGGCGAAGTAAGGAGGAGATACGGAGGAGGAGGAGGACGGAGGAGGAAAAACAAAGGTAGGAGAGGAGGAGGAATGAGGCGGGGGAGGACGAGCCGGAGTCGGAGGAGTGGGCGGTGGGCCTGTACTGCCTCTCTCCCTTTCCTCTAACGGAGGTCTTCGTCCGGCCGTGCCTCACGCGCGCGCAGACCAGCGCCTCCAGATCGTTCGACTCGCCCCCGCTGACCGCGCCAGCGGACGACGCCGTGGCCTCGGAGGTGGCTCGGTCGCGTCGCAGCCGCGACGCCGCCGCCGTCGCGGCCACCGCCGGCTCCATTCGTATCACCAGCAACGCCGCCGTCGCCATCGGAGGGAGATGGAGGAGGAGGAGGAGGAGGAGGAGGAGGAGGAGGAGGAGGAGGACAAGTGTAAACTCAAGACTCATCAACGGTGTTGGAATAGACCCTTTCTCTAAAGATCTTGCCGGCGCTTGACGCTTGGGCGCTTCTCGGACGATCCGCAGAAATCTGCGAGAACCTGATGGCGTCTGGGAGAATTCGGAAGAATCTGGAAGAATCTGGAAGAATCCAGATTCCCTGGGGGATCTCGGGTGCCTCAGGAGGGGCCCGCCTTCTTGTCGAAAAGGGTGCGCCGCGTCATCGCGGCGCCATTCCGACGCAGGTTGGCGCCACTCGGGGGCCATAATGCGCGAGCCTGCACGGTTGTTGGCACCCCCCGCTGCGTCAAATGCCCTGAAGCCCGCGACGCAAAAGGAAGGCGCCCCCGTTTGCGGCGATGTTGTTCACGGCGCTCTCGTTGGCTCTCTCGCTCGCAGCGCTCTCGTTGGCAACGTTCTCGCTCGCAGTACTCTCGTTCGCAGCGATGTAGTGCGCAACGTTTTCGCTGGCAGCGCTCTCGGCCGCAGCGCTCTCGTTCGCAGCGCTCTCGTCGGCGGCATCCTCGTTAGCAGCACCCTCGCTCGCAGCGCTCTGGTTCCCAACGTTTTTGTTCGAAGCACTCTGCTTCTCAGCGCTCTCGTTCGCAACGCTCTCGTTCGTGGCGCTGTCGTTCGCAACGCCCTCGTTCGTGGCCCTCTCGTTAGCGCCACGTTCGATTGCCACGCAATCGTTCGCAACGCACTCGGGCGGTATGTTCGTTGCCCTAAACGGCCACATTGGCCTAAAGAGGCCGCCACGGGGCTCCCAAAGGTACCAAGAGGCCCCGAAAATGGCCCCCTTGATCCTCCTCAGCATCATCCGTTGTTTCCTCCTCCTCCTCTTTCTCATCCTTATCCTCCTTTTTATTTTCCGCCTCCTCCTTCTCGTCGTCGTCCTCCTCCTCATCATCGTCATCATCATCACCACCACCATCATCATCATCACCACCATCCGTAGCCATTTTGGCTCAAGGCCAAGATGGGTACTCAGTAATTGCCTAAGCGGGGTAGGCTCCCATCCATATTCCAGAGTCTTGCGCTCATGCGTTTGCAGCATCAACCAGGGGTGAGCTGCCACCCGTTGCGAAGCTTCGCCATCCATATTCTTGCTGTCTCTGCTCTCCATATCAACTGCGCTGCACTTCGGACGGAGACAGCGAGACTCATAGAATCCCCACGGCGACTCCAGAGGTCCACCGAATGGCTTCAGACCGCGGCTCAGGTTCCGGTACATCCAATTCCAGTGCTCCCAAGCAGCACGATTGATCTGATCTCATTGGATCGACTTCACCATCGGTCTCATTGCTCGCCTTTCAAGGGGACACTTCCCGCAGTGATAAGGATATCTTGTAGGGGCTTATAAGGAGGTGAGACGGGTGTAGGGGCTTATGAGGAGGAGCTGCATTGTTGATGCATATTGGTTTTACTCTGGTTCCCCTCCTCTTCTTCCTCCCTGCTCTCTCCTGCCCTCTTCCCCATCCTCTTTTGGGAGGGTGTGGAGGAGGAGGAGGAGGAGGAGGAGGAGGAGGAGGAGGAGGAGGAGGAGGAGGAGGAGGAGGAGGAGGGGTGGGGGGAGGAGGAGGAAGGAGAAGAGGAGGAGGAGGGGGAGGAGGAGGAGGAGGAGGAGGAGGACCTGTCGGCGCAGGTGGACGGCCCGTGCGCAGAGGACGACCGGCCATCTGGCGAGTATGTGGACTTCGAGCTGGCCAGGCTCGAGATCTTCGCGCTGGCCTGACGCCACACCCAGGGCGCTCCGTATCTCTGCTGTGCCGTGCCGCAGGG